TAGCACCTGAGTGTATGAGGCTTTACAGTACATAAAACAAGCTTTACTAAAATAATACGTAAAACACATTAACAACAAGATTTCCATCAACCTGATCTTTTCACATTCATGATATTAATGAAAGTACTATACAAAGAAATATAACTGAAATCTTTAATACATGTATGCCAAATTCTGCATTTTTATGACCCAGTCATATTGGTCTGTATAAGGATTTGGAGACATAAAAAATAATTTATCTTCATATCCTGGGTATACTGAATGAAACATTCTGTATTAAAATGACCTCCAGTGTTGCTGATATTTGACTGTATGAGGATTTGGTGAAATGTAATATTTTCTCTTCATATCCTGGGCATGCTGACCTTTACAAGACACAGTACTTCATTTGTTTTATCACAGGCGTGAAATTCAATACTCAATCATAACAGTGTCTGGATTAGGAAGGTCTCTGATACCATGGAGGGGGATGAGTATGAAAGCCGCCTTATTACACATCATTGGTATGGCCTTGCCAGAGGATTAGGGTATAAAATTTGAATAAAGTGCACCTGTCACACATACATAATGTATGGCTTTATGAAACAAAGTGGAGCCTTTCTCATCACAACCATTCTGATTTAAAGTACAGACAGAGCTTTTTCTGGCTATACTTCTCCTGTGGATCACAGGATGTTCGTTCTGCACTCCTGTGACCAGTTTTCAGCTGACAGTGAACTGAAGTTTGCTGTCAGCTGACATCACTCCAGAGTTGGGAGAGGCACTTGGCTCAGCCTCTCAGCAAAGCGCATGACATGTGAAATACCATTGCTTTCTATAGTGCATGTTCATATATATCACACTGGCAGTGCGGTTTGAAAAAGAGTCCTGTGTGATTTCTGAGCAGTGTGGTCCAGTTCAAGAGCGGATAACAGGCTCATTGACCTCTATGGGAACGACTTCTGAATTGCAGGTCATTCGTTTGTGAACACGATTTCAGGCCAGTTTTCTCTGTTCAAATCCTGACCTGAACAGGACCTGAACGACTGCTTTTCAATTCACACTGAAATTGGAGTTGTCAAGTCGCACTGCACATATATGAATTGGCACAGAGGTGTGTTGTAATGTGACACTGAAAAAGAAACAAGGTTATGGGTTTTTGGTAGTGCCTTTTGCTGAATTCCAACACAGCCAAACTGGATGCTCCCTTCATATATACACACACATGGAACTAGAGTTAATGTTAAATTGTCAGCAAGTTTAATTACAAACCCGTGTCCATCTAGTCTGATGTTTCCATTAAAATCATAAAGATGTCTGTTTGGGCTTTCACATTCAATTTTTCCAGACAAACTCATCAGCTTGTCAATGTCCTTCATTTCTGCGGTCAGCGACAGACCCTGAAGAAAGAATATGAAAAAGCACTTTATTCAAAGAACAATTCCTGTCCAATAGCCCTTAGAAGGGGATTAGCTAATTGAGAAATCCATCTAGTTGTCACAGAAGTCTTCTTAGTCAGTATAGTCTGTAGAATTGAGCAGTACAGAGCACAGCCTGGCTGCTAGATGGAAGAACTAGTGAGATAATTAAATGCAACTAATTCATTTTTTTTCCCTTTCTCCGAAATGGCAGAGCAGCTAATTTGTAGTCTTGACATCGTGAATTTTGGCTTTCAACCTCCCTCACTGCAGATTGACTTCAAAATTCAAAGGGGACACACACGCTTAAAGCGATTCTAAAGGTTCATTTTTTTTTTTTGTGAAATAACAAACATGTCTATACTTACCTACTGTGTACAGTGGTTTTGTACAGAGCAGTCCAGATCCTCCTCTTGTCGGGTCCTCTGCAGGCTCTCCTGGCTCCTCCTGTCTGTTGTGTGCCCCTGCAGCAAGCAGCTTACTATGGGGGCACCTGCTGCTCTATGTGTCCATTCACAGATGGAGCTGTGGCTGGCCCCTCCCCCCTCTCTTTACTGCCTGACTGGCTGTGATTGACAGCAGCGGGAGCCAATGGCTCCTGCTTGCTGTCTCAGTCAATGAGAAGGCAGGGACCAGGGACAGGTGAGGCTGTTATTCACATAGCTGGAACGCAATGAGGCTCAGGCAAGTATTGAGGGGGCTGAGGGCACTGCTGCACACAGGTGGTTTTTTACCTTCATGCATGAAGGTAAAAAACCTTCAGCCTTTACAACAACTTTAACAGATTGTGCAACCTCTTCACAGTTTCCTTTAAATTTACCAACAACTTTGTAATGCCAGGGCTTGGTTAAACAATGTATATCCAATCAGTCAGGCGTTCCTACTACATATTTGTTAGTAAATCTAAAGGAGATGGAACAGTAAGATTTGAAAAGTGTGGTCAGCTAGAGAAGAACAGTTGAAGTTCCCACTACATTATAGGAGTAAAGTTTTTTTCTTTCCTTGTTCATATTTGATCAAGTGTGCCATGCTGAGGAACCACTGTCACCACTGTCCCTAACGAACAAACAACTAGGGAACAAAAATAGCATTTTCTACACCTGGGTCCTGGCACTTAAAACGAATGGGAAACCATAAATATTTTAAACAGAAATTATTACTAAAATTGTAACTTGGCATAAAATATGGGCATTTTACAAATACGATGAGCTTAGTGGGGTTTTTCTTTTTTATGGATAGGATTGGAAGATAAGAAAAGTACTTTTTCTGATCTTACATTGGATGCAAGGTATGTACAATAAATATATTCTTTCAAGAATGCGCTAAATTATTCCTCCCTGTTATCTACCCATTTTTCCCATTTAGAGTGCTAATCCTCTATAGAAAATATGATATGCTGCTAGAGACATATTTCATACTACACTGATCAGCCATAACTTTATTACCACTGAGGTTAAATAAACATTGATTATCTCATTCCAATGACATCTGAAATTCGGTGGGATAAATATTGCATCAACTAAACATGTTGTCTCTGAAATGAATGCGATGAAACCAGAAAAAAGGGGTCATCACAATTTGTGGAGTATGGGGCTGCATAGCCACAGACTGGTCAGGTTTCCCATGCTGACCCATGTCCACAGTCAAAAGGGCATACAATGGGCATGTGCACATCAGAACTAGACCACAGGGCAATGGAAGAAGGTGGCCTAGTCTGATGAATTACATTTTCTTTACATCATGTTTAGTGTGTTAGTGTGTGTGTGTGTGTGTGTGTGTTAGTGTGTGTGTGTGTGTGTGTGTGTGTAGCTTACCAGGGGAAGAGATGGCACTAGGGTGTAGTATGGGAAGAAGGGAAGCTGGTGAAGGCAGTGTGATGGTTCGGGCAATGTTCTGCTGTGAAACCTTGGTTTGGGTCCTGTTATTCATGTAGATGATACATGACATGTACCACTGTGCTAAACATTGTTATTGACCAAGTACACCCCCTTCATAGAAACTGCATTCCCTATTGGCAGTGGCCTTTCTCAGCAGGATAATGCACCCTGCCACACTGCAATAATGGTTCAAGAATGGTTTAACCACTTCTGGACCAGCGATGTACAACTTCACTGGACTTTCCGTGGTTGTACCGCAGTGAAGACTGCAGCTGCACTTATCACCTCTGGTACCTTTTTGTTTTTTTAGAGACAGCAGTCGGCTCTCTTGTACAAGCAATCAGAATGACCACTAGCTGTGTGACTCTCTCAGATCTCCCAACCCACTGGGAGTCCCGAGGGACAGCCGAACAAAGCTGGAATCGGCTTTGATCGCTCTCCTTTTTTGTAAACCAGAAGCGATGATCTGATATCACTTCCAGTTTACCCGGAATCTTTCGGCGTCATTATTAAAAACCTGAGAGCCTTCAAAAACACCGATCTCAGTGTTTTGAAAGTTTGCAAGTGCAGAGTAGGGATTTGGGGTCTCATAGACCCCAGATCCCTCCATAAAAATACCTGTCACATTTCTATTGCTTTCACAGGGGATGTTTATATTCCTTGTAACAGCAATAAAAGTGATAAAAGAAAAAAAAATTAAAGTGACCTGCCTCCCCCCATGCTTGCGTGCAAAGGTGAATGCACATGTTGCTCCTGCAGACACGCAAACAGTGATCGGCCCACACATGGTGAGAGGTATCGCTGTGATCGTCAGGTCATGGGCAGTAATTCTAGCACTAGACCACCTCTGTAAATCTAAAAGTAGTAACCTGTAAAGACTTTTAAAGCATCGCCTATGAATAGTAAAATTTACAGTTTGTCGCTGTTGCTCGGGTGTGCGCAACATGGTTGGTATCTATTTACTCACCATAACATCATATTTTATATTTTACAAGAAAACTGTGTTATGTATTGTGCTTTTATGCAATAAAATTCAAAGAAGTGTATTTTTTTCCCAAAAATTGCATTTGAAAAACTGCTGCACAAATAATGCAAGAACCACCTATTTATTCTCTAGGGCCTCTGCTTTAAAAAAATATGTAATGTTTATGGGTTCTAAGATTTATTTTAGCAAAAAATATGGATTTAAAAATGTAACCAAAAAGTGTCAGAAGTGGTTAAGGAACACAACAATGACTTTGGGTATTGACTTGGCCTCCAAAATCTCCAGATCTCAATCCAATCGAGCATCTTCAGGATGTGCTGGAAAAAAAATTTCCAACCAATGGAGGCCCCACCTTGCAACTTACAGAGCTTAAATATTTTGCTACTGATGGCTTGGTGCCAGATACCACAGTATACCTTCAGAAGTCTTGTGGCATCTACACCTCAACAGTTTAGTGCTGTCTTGATGGAAAAAAGGGGACCTATTCAAACTTAGGTGGGTGGTCATAAAATTATGGCTGATGCTAATGCCTACAACCATGAAACTCACTGCAGCACCTCTGAGATATAAATCTCCAGTGGGCCACTACCAGTAAATATCTACTCAAAATGAAAATATGCGAATGGGCAGAACTGATTATTTTTTGCCCATTTAAAATCTGTGCATTTTTAAAGTGACAGGTTGCAAAATTCTACTTACCTGGCGAATCTTGAGGTTAGTCTCCCCATCTAAATTAGATGTTTCAATGTAGCACATAGCTTGAGGCTCACTATCATGGAAGAACCAAGCATAAAATACAATTAGCATGTGGCAAGAAAATAGATACACAAAATACAAATTGCAGCAAAATTAAGACAAAATGAGTCAATCACACTGTATATTAAAACATTATTTTACACTTGTAGTGTTTGAAAAAAAAAAAAAAAAAAAGTGCAACACGTAAACCCCAAACAGTGCACAAAACTGGATTTAAAAAATATTTCAAAGATAAGGGAGTGAAGTAAGTTTGATTCGATTTTTCAATATTGTAAGCACTTCAAATCAGATAAATTATCTAGAGTGGCTTTTAGAGCTTAACTGCCCACCATTGTATACTTATTTTTGTAAAGTTTCAATATATAGGAAATTGGGGGTAAATGCAGTAAAATTACTGCATAGATTAACATTCATCACTGGAGCATAGTCACAATGCATTGATGGGTTATAGTGCATTCAAATAAACTATTGCAATTTGTTAGCGGCATGCACCCTTAAATAAAGCTCTTCATGCCAAAAAAAAAAATTCCCAATCACTAAATGCACATTTACTAATTTTTATATTAACCAAATGTGCAGCAAAGTAATAATTAGTCTGTTTCACACAAAAAACAAGTCTAGAAAGGTTAGCGAAAAACAGAAAATAAGCGGTGAGGACTAACTGAAGCCAAGTACCAGATCCTGGACAATTGCAGAGCCATGCAAATGTGAAGTGCCATCAACTAAAACCTATTTTTGGACAACATGCTATGGATGTTAACGTAGTCTTGGCATTGTGTGCAAGGGATCCTCTACATTATTTATAAATGAACTACACCAAGGCTCTGGTTCCGTTTTAGACAATGTATTATTCTACTGTATATTTGAATGGTAATCCAGAGTAATACTTCTTTTCATTCTAAGTTTGCAGTATTAGATAATTTCACAGGGCTCTTCCATAAAATTATGGAAGAATTGGGCTTTAAATACTACTGTCTATAGTTCCTAAAGGCTTTGTGTTCTCTAATGTTTGAATATCTTTGTTTCTGAAGCTGATCTGTATAATAGGTGATCTCCTAAACAAGACAACCAAAATAATTAGTTATCTGTGTCCATCTTGGCTTTGAAGTCAGTAGGGCAGAAGGCTATCATGGCTAAAATATCAAAGAGAAAGTTTCTGAAAAATCAGAATTTTCCCCCTTTCAGACCTTCTTAGGTGACATGTTGAACAGGACATGTGGTCACGCACAACTTTTAAGCTATTTTCACATACTGTAGATGCTGGATGTAGAAGAGCTGTTTCCCTTGGCATGATCAAGGCAAGAATAAATGATAGTCTGCTAAGAGAAGTTATATAACATGTAGCTACAGCCAAATACTGAACCCAGCAGTCTGGCTGCCATGTTCTAGGAATACATCCACTGGCATGCCTACTGAGCAATTCAGCGGAGTAAATTTTAAGATCGAATACTTACAAGGGGTTAGAACTAAATGCCAAGTGCAGCATTTAGGTGCCTATCTGAATGTACTACAGGCAGGCAAGCTACAGTTGATTGCTCCATCAACTGAAGTTTCTTAAACCTCATAGTCCAGCAGCCTTTGCACATACCCAATCGGGTGGCTAGAAACATTTTCTTGTGGGAATGGATAGGGCAAAGCATTTAACAGTGCTACCCATGTAACTATTTAGACTAGCATTAATCATCAGAGAGTTAACAGATTGGGCAATAAGAATACATAGCATTGGCTAAAACCACTAGTAAGATGTGGCGCACGGCCATGTTAATTTAAATAAACAGGCAGAAGGAGGATTGTGGCCCACATTATAAAAATGGCTTAGAGGCAGCAAAACAGGTGGCAGGGAGGGAAACAGCTGTTCCATTTTATCTTGTGAAGAAAAAACGTAAGTTGTCAGGTGAACCAAATCTTTTATATTTGTATAGAGTTGACGCTTTTGATGAAGCTAATTCTTAGCAAAGATTTTTTCTAAACATTTAAAGTATAACTAAAGGCAAAACTTTTTTTTTTTGTTTTGGGCAGAGTGGTGAGGTAATAAAACACCTATTAGGTTTTTTTTTTTTTTTTTTTTTTTTTTTTTTAAACTGTCTGTGCCTCCCGTTAGGGAGATGCATTCTATTTGTCCTGTGACCCTCATCATTGAAAGGGAAAATAAAGAAACCCCAAATTTGGGGTTGTCCCCAGAAAAGTAATAAAAGGGAAATTTTCCAATAGGGGACATTGTTCTGGTGACCTGGGGGTTCCCAAGGAATTTTTCACTTAGTTTGCGGATTTTCTCACTTCCTGTTTTAGCCATGGGGCAGGAAATGAAGGTAAATCTTCCCAGAGCGAGACAGAAGGCAAAAAATAAACTGACCGGGGTTATAAACCTCCCTTACTCGATCCAAATTGAAAAAAAAAGTTCTGCCTATTTTAAAGACAGGTAAAATGTTAAACTGACTATAAAGTTTAATTTTACAATGCCCTTTAGATCCACCACCAACTATGTAATATAAGGGCCTACACACTGAGTACAAACTGGTGTCTAAGTAAAATAAAAGGAGATTTTCCACTCTGTACAATCAGATTGTAAAACTGTATGGTCACCCTTAGCTGAATTCAGGTTTCAAGTATGATTTTTTTTTTTTTTTATATATATATATATATATAAGTGGCAGAGGTGTAGCAGGATCCATTTGCACAGTCTGCCCCAACATTTCTCTGACCTGGATGAAAGACTGATGAGGTCAGCTGGGAGATGTTCCCCATTGGTCACTTTCACTATCTCCCCTATAGCCACCTATGTATCCCAATACGAACATGATCAGAATGGAAATCAATGGGAAACAAAGGAGACAGAGACAAAAATTGAAAGATTAACTCGGAAGGAAATTTGGAGGTTAAGAAATAAAGAGAGAATGATGTTTCCATCTTCTGTTTGTAACTGGGTCATAAATGTAAAAGGACAGGATGAAAATAATTATAAGAAAACATAACAAGCATGGTATAGGAGGACTACATTTTAATGTAATTGTTATGCAAGCTGGCATTCCTTTTCCCAATATAAATTATACATAACATAAATAGTATACTTTAATTTAAATGAAAAAGGCAGACCCAGTTATAAACCAGATTGTGAAAACATGCATATTATTCGGATGGACTGAATAGTAGAACTTCAAGGAAATAAAGAAAAACAGTATATGAATCTTATGTGTAGTGTACCAGAATTCCAGAAAGAAAAGAAAGGTTTGCCATAGCCCAATCTGGCTGCCATGCTTAGTTTTTCCCTATTTCCTTGCAATAATGGAAATCAAAACAGGGTAGAGGAACCAGACTTTATAGCGTTACCAACAACGGGCATCTCTACCTTGATGAGAGCAGAATAGTGTCAGCGGGTATATACTCTGTGCCATTTATTTTAACTATATCGCCAACATTTACCTGAAAGAAACTGTGAACTGGTTAAGAGTCTGTAAAATGCAGGTTAGAAGCAAAAGCATTAACACATGCACTAGTAATATATCTGAGCACAGTGGAATGTACAAAGAGCATTAGGATTTTGTGTATAGTATGTGGTAAAGCATAACTGCAAAAACCTTTGAGAAAACAAGAGAACTTGAACACTCATCTTATGGGGCAATGCAACATCCAGGAGACCGGAATAGGTGAAGCAGGATATGGCTGCAGACAAATATTTATACCATTCCACCAGAATGGCTGAAGGCCCTGGACCAAACAACTTCCAGTTCCCATTTTGCCTGTACCTCTAGACCCTTATACAAGGTTCTGGACCCATAAAAGTCTATAAGGGTATCTCAGACACCCAGGGAAATGGAGGTACAGGTAGTCACAGTTTACAGATTTATCATCAAATCCTTTTCCTAGGTGTCCAGTCACATCCCAGTTCTTACGCTACAACATGCATTTTTTTTGACATGGTGAACTGACCGAAAAAGACAAAAAGGACATTGCGCAGAATTGTGACCTGGAATAATAAAACTGCAGCAAAAGTGACTGCAGATCTCATGTCTCATGATGACCGCACTTATGCTCATCATATGACATTTTCCTAAAAACTGTATATGCCATCACAACCTTGGATACTGGACCTCACGACACTGCAAATAAATTGGCAACTTCAATCACAGAGGCACCAGCTAAGTGGGCACCAACAATTTGACCTCTTTGAAGCTCAGTAAGCTCTGACATGACTCTGTATTACTAACAGAGCATGTAGTGAATGATGAAAGAGGATTCCCACCTGTTAGCTAGGTGTCTTATCACACAGCGGAAGCAAAAGAATGGTACATCACTTCTGCTTTCAATGCAAAACATGTCACTTTCACACCTGCAAATCATGTAGTGTTTCCATTATTTTTGTCTAACCACTAAACATACATACATACACACACATACATACATAAATATACATATACTGTATACACACAAATTATGAATGGTCAAAAAAAACAGAGCATCCAGACATTACCAAAACATGACTACAATGCTGTTCAGCAAGAAAATAAATAAAATACCATTCTGCAGGATTAGCACTTTTAATAAGGCTTACATTAAAAATGCACAATTCTTTTACATAACATTAAACCAGGATGTGAAGCATTGCATCTGTAGGCAATAGTAGACATCAAACATAGGCTAAAATGACATCAAGTAAGAAAAATGCCATTCCACAGCCAACTTCATTCTTTTTGTAAACAAAGCCATTTTCAAGGATAAGGCTACAGCCAGCATTAGGAGGTGTTTTTGGGGACAACAGGCCTACCCTTGGGAAATAAACTAATAAAAAAATAATAATGAGAGCCTTCTTTAAAGTGTTACTAAACCCAGGACCCTGCATTCATTATATCTGGTCTCCCACAGTACACACAACACGGAAATGCAATTATTTTGGTAAATATAAACTGCTAAATACCTTTTCTCATCAGCAGTATATAGCAGTTGTGTGACTTCTATCAGTGTCCAGCTAAGCACTGGTTAAAGCATGTAGGAGGAGTTTGTAGTCTCCTCTGACTGTCCTATGAGGCAGCAAGACCCCTGACCCTCTCTCTGGACAGTGCTGACTGTCCCTGTGCCGATCACATGCACCCTCCCAAAAAAAAACCCCAAAAAAACCAAAAACAAAAAAAAAAACCAAACTGAACATGTGCAGAGTGCCTCCTATGGCTCTGTGCTATCAGCAGTTGGACTGGAGACTGTGGAAGAAGGGGAGGATCATAGGAGACAGGATCAAACAATCTTTTTACACAATATGGAGGATTAACTTCTTAGGTTCCACAGTGAGAACAACAAACAATTTACTGCATTTACAGGGTGATTTTACTATTGTGGGTTTAGTAACACCTTACGGCTCAAAAAAAAAAGCAGATGTATAACCTGCGGTGACCAAACATTACTCTATGCACAAAATCAAGCAAAGTGGTTGGTGGCAGAAGTCAAGTCATTCAATTATTATTATTATTATTGACAGGTTTGGTTTACCAAACTGTAGAACGATTTAATTTATCTAGAAAAATACTGTTAAGAGCACTGAAGCCTAGGAGATGCTAAATTATTAAATCTGCAAGAGTCCATTGCGCACTATGCGCTTACGTAGCACAGCACTTAACACAGACCAAGTACTAAGAAGCTATCACTAAAATAATAACAAATGCCATCAACTAACAATGCATACCACTTAATTTTCATTCTTTTGTGCCTGCATAGATGTAATGTCCCTTTGCCCAAGGACACCGTCTTTATGGTACACGATTACTGGAGAGCAGTCTTCTGTATACAAACCCATCCATGGCTTACAAGCTTGGACATCTACAATAAGCGAACCACACATGTCATTAGGACCTGGTGGTTACTGGGACAAAAGACAAACCTTGAATTCGTTCTGAGATATTGCCATTGTGTGGTTGTCGAGAATAAAACTGCTGCTTAGGTGGCTATACCATTTTATATAAGGGAAGCATGGAAGGCATACACATGGTACATTATCAGTTCAACATGCAAGGTCCACTTTAACAAGCACCTTGACCAGGTCCCTTTGTTTAGCATAAGGTACAAGATTTGTATTCAAAGGAAAGAAGTCTGAAATCTATTCAAGTAACAAAACTCAATTATAGGCCCATTTCCTTGGGCTCTGCTCTTCTGAAGAAGCCAGGACTAACAGTGATGTATTACTCAAGAGAAGAATATACTGCTATGACTAAGCACCATTGCCTTGTTCCAATCACAGAATACCACTGCTATCTTTACAGAACTTTGTTCATTTTTACACACACATACAAGCATTGTTCCAGGCTGCAAGACGCTTGAATTTACTAGAAAAGTGAAAGTGAAGCAGGACATTCATTACAATGTGGCAGCTACATGAGAAACAACAAGAGGTCTATTTGTCAATGAAAAGAAGAGCCAAAGAACAAACTACCCACAGACATGGGGTGGACCTCAGCAGATCTTTTTGAGCTTAAATGACAGGATCGAATTTGGTCACTTTTTTTTTTTTTTTTTTAGAATCCTTATATCCATGGTTACCAAAACAGTTTCTTTTAAATAAAGCTATTCTATTTGTAGATTAATGATTGCAGATAAAGACTAACTGCCCACTGCTGATTTATTTTACTATCCAATCATTGGTCCAAGAGCATTTCAATTCTCTGTTGCCTTTCACACTGCCCTCTGTTGCTAGTTAGTAAGATTCTGGGCACGCTTCGACTTTTCGATCAGTATTTTTACTAATGTAAAGTGATGGGGTCATTAGTTCAAGAAAATACCTGAAACTAAACTTTTATGCTAGAGAAGAGTGGGATAAACTTCAGCACACCCTGAAAGAGATGCACACCGTCAACAATGTTAGTACAGTTGGGCATACTTTATACTTGGGTAGCTATGAATTCTGACCACAAAGAGCGCAGCTTCAAACTGCTGAGTAATCTTGTCACGGTGCACCCCCACGTGCCTGCTGTCCCTCTGCCTGTCCCTTCACCCCTCCCTCCCCCCTTGCAGATTCCTCACATCCTATCACCACCTACTTCAAAGGCTGTGCAGGATGGGAGGAAGCGGCCCCTATGGTGCGGGTCACACCTCTCCGGCAATGTCACCAGAGAGTCGCGACCCCCCGCCAGGAGACCTCCGGCGCAGGCCGCAGGGATGTCTCAGTGCTTCCCCCTCCCGGCGGGCACGAGACTTCCCGTGCTCTGCACCTTCCGGAGACAAAGGTTGTGCTCACGAGAGTGCGTCCCGAGTCAGGGGGCGTGCCTCGTTGCCCCGGCAACGTGATGCTGGGCCGGACATTGCCAGGGCAACCGGGAAGCGTCTTGCTCCAGCTTTAAGAAGGCCGGAGCGGGACCCAGTCCGTACATTCGTCCCCCGCTCAGGACAGGGTGCTGTGTGAGGTCTGAGCTGAGGCCAGACCCCACAGCCAAGACCCTGCAAGCTGTTGGTCCCCTGCTCGAGAAGAGGAGCGCTGTGTGGGGTCTGAGCTGAGGCCAGACCCCACAGCCAACACCCCGCTGAGTCCCTGTGAGCATGCTGTTGTCCCCGGAAAGCTGAGCCCCGTGAGGATCCCTGTCTGCTGACCGCTTTGTCCCTGGAAAGCTGTTCCTGTCTGCTGACCGCTTTTGTCCCTGGAAAGCTGTTCCTGTCCGCTGTTTGGAGGTCTGAGCTGAGGCCAGACCCCACAGCCCAGACCCCGCTGAGTGTCCACTGATCGATGTTCGTCCCTGGAAAGCGATCCCTGTCTGCTGACTGCTTTGTCCCGGGAAAGCTGTTCCTGTCTGCTGACCACTGGTTGTCCCTGGAAAGCTGAGCACTGTGTGGGTCCCTCTCTGCTAACCGCTTTGTCCCTGGAAAGCTGTTTCTGTCCGCTGGCCGCTGTTTGTCCCTGAAAAGCTGTTCCTGCCTGCTGACCGCCTATCGTGAGTGTCCCTGGAAGCTGCCTGCTGCTGAGTGTCTGCAAGCCGCCTACCGTGAGTGTCTCTACAAGCCGCCTACGTGAGTGTCTCTACAAGCCGCATGTTGCGGAGTGCCCTGAACTGCTTCTATTGTGTGCCCAGATTACCCTTGCCTGAACTGCCCCTATTGCGTGCCCAGATTACCCTTGCCTGAATTGCCCCTATTGCGTGCCCAGATTACCCTTGCCTGAACTGCCCCTATTGCGTGCCCAGATTACCCTTGCCTGAATTGCCCCTATTGTGTGCCCAGATTACCCTTGCCTGAACTGCCCCTATTGTGTGCCAGGACTAATACTTGCTCGGACTGCCTATTGCGTGTCTGGAGTATCGTAGCTACCTGGACTGCCTCCCTGAGTGCTCGGGCCATCGCTACCCGAAATCGCCCTAGTGTGGGTCGGATTATAACTGTTTGGACTCCTCCCCCTCTTCCTCCCCTTTTTTGGGTACCCGGACACTACCTTCCTACCTTGATTAAGTGCC